CGGGGGATACTTGGTTTACAGAGATGTATGAAATCAGACACTCGTGGATTCCTGCATATTATAAGGACACGCCGATGTCTGGACTAATGAAAACAACCTCAAGATCCGAGAGTTCGAATGCGTATATCAACATATACGAATCGTACTGGTTTGATTTGGTCCAATTTCTTAATAATTACGATGTAGCTATAGAGAAACAAAGATACAGACAATCTGTTCAGGAGACATTGACGAGAACTACTAATCCCAAGTTTATTACTCCATTGCGTTTAGAAAGTCATGCATCAAGCATATACAGTCGGAACGTGTTTTTTGACATCCAAAAGGAAATAAAGAAGGCTGTTTGGTTTTGTGCTATTGAGACCGTCGAATGCCATGATGATTTCAAGTCGTTCTTGATAAGCCACAAGGCCAAGAAATCAGCTGACAACATCAAGTATYTGGTATCCCATTCCTAATGAACAACACAATTGTTTATACGATCCTTATTTTTTTATTGACTGATGTTGGTAACTTCTTTTATGACAGGTGGGCCGTAACTACTCAACAAACACGGTCGAATGCGATTGTAACCTATTTACACGTAATGGGTATCTATGTCGTCACGCGTTCAAGGTAYTAATAAATGACGAAGTTGAATGCATACCGGAAAAATACGTACTACGTCGATGGAAACGAGAGTTAGTTCCAGTACAGATACAGTCCGCAAGAGTTCGTTATGGGGAGGTCAACGCCGAGAAAGAAAAGTCTATAAATGATTTGTATTCCAAGATGGACGACATAATAAGCATCTCACGCAATGACCAATCTATATTAGATAGATTGGGGCGTAACCTCGACAAATTCATGGTTGATATAGAGAAGGAAGTTCCATACGAAGACCCATCCCAACAAAAGTTGGATGCGATAAGAGATCATSTAGGTGTTTCCATACCTGATGAGGCTGACATCCTACCACCATCTGGAATAAGGAACAAAGGTTGTGGAACTGGCAAGAGGCTTGTAAGTGTATCTGAGAAATTGCAAACTAATTGCAAAAAGACTAAACGAAAATGTGCAACGTGTGGACAACGTAGTGGTCATGACTCACGTAATTGCCCAGACTTGATAGATTAGTTAGATGTCAAGTATTTAGAATTATTATCGTTTCGTTCTAATAGTTCGGCGTCATCGAAACATATGGTTTATGTGGCTTTTATCTTTTAAACAGCTTGAACTTGATTTTCAGTGTTTTGCTTGGATCAGTAGTTGATGCTATTTGTTAGTGCCATTAGTGTTATTGATACGTTCTGTACATTTTGTATTGTGTTTTTTATATATCTTATAYGTTATGAACCTTACTGGAACGTTCATCTTAAGTAGAAAACATACGAACAACAGACTACATGAACACAGTACACACTAGAAGGCTATTGGGTAGCCGGTTCATA